AGCATTACTAGGAAAAGAACAATACTCTCTCTCTCAAAAACTCCTTGAACAGAGTGAGTGAACAGAGGAGCGATTCCATGGCGATTGTCCTCCCCCAACCTCCTTGAACCCTATATCATTCCTACCAATATATCTTCCATTTCTTCTTTCACCCACATTTTCTCTCCTCTAACCAGATTGTCTTCCAGACCCCCATTTTTATTGCCCTTGGTTCACCGCCCCTTGTTTTACCCACTAACCCCTGTTTCTTCTCTTTTTCATTCACTACACTGCGTATATAGATTCCTCACCATTAGTCCACTCCACCTATCACCATTATTGACTCTTTTCTCTCTACCCACCACATGCTCTAGCCATTAATATGTCCAGTATTTTAGAAAACCCAACGTTCTCAAATGTGGGAGATCTATCAAATTNTGACAAGGGAAGAAGTCGTTCCTCTCCCCTTCCTTATACTGACTTTGCACTTTCTCGTTGTGACCATTCCTAAGGGGTAGACGAGGTTCTTGCCCCAAGGTCTGACTGTTCTCTCTCATCTCATTAACTTCTCTGAGGGGGTCGAGATACGGTTGCTCCCTTGGTGGTGGTTTATTCTGGCCTCCATGGGCCGGTCACGCCTCCTGTGGGCATTGTAGGAGCTTTAAGAGCTTTTCATTCTGTTTTATCAGACGTTCATTGACAAGACGATGGGCCTCCATCTCATTATTCATGGGAAGGCCCCCCATGGGGGGATCTACTTCTTGCGTGTTTTTGGGTTGTCTGCTATTTGCGACTTCCTGTTGATCTTGCATCAGTAGAGGATTGGTCTGACTTCGGCTCATGTTTCGCATTGATACCATCAGTCACTGAAAAGTCAGCTTTATTTGTAACAGGAACAGTCGTTCCCATAGACGGCGCCAAACTGATGGTGTTAACGCACTTTTACAAAAGATGGGCTGGGATTACGTTAGGTTGCTAAGATGATGTAATAATATCCAGGGCTTTGGAAGTTAAGACAACAGAATTATAGTGGTTCACCAGCTCGGGAGCTCGGATAGTCCACTCTGAAATGGAGGCTCTTACTCCTTTTGTTTCATTCACGGTGATTACAAGGTTGCTATGGCTTCTTTGTGCCACTAGGGTTTCCCCCTCTGTTAAGAGGTGTTACATTGCATTTATAGGGTCATTCCCTGCTAAGTGGGATCCTGGCCGAGATTCTTGCCCTTACTTCGTGGGGTTCTCCCTAATTTTATGAGAAGATCTTGGTTGAGTGAGATTAGATGTCTTGATTATAGCTTCTTAACGCTTTAGGAACCTTTCGTGATTATCCAGCTGTTGCCTTGGTTGTCATTGTCATTGCTTATCTCGAGGGGACCTCCAGCTCTACTCTTCCGAGTTATGCTTGCCTAGTCTGACCTCCTGGGCTAATCTGACTTCCTAAGCTGGCACTTCGGATTTATTTTGAGATATCATCAGTTTCAATTTAATTTAATAAACTATTTTTCTGATTTAATAATTCATAATTATTAAATTAATAGTAAACTTCAATATTTATTAAGACTCCTAATTAATTTTCAATAATTATGTTTAATTAAGTCGATAAATTAGATTTCAATAGTATTATTAGAACTTCTTCAACTGAGTAAAAAAATTAATTTAATATAGAACACTTCAATCGATAAACTTAAATATATATTCAAATCTTTAAAAAAAAATTCATTACCGTCCAAAAGCTCATTTTTTTAGATGCAAGAATTTTTTTATCAAGTATGAGAGATGAGAGAGATTTTTTGAGAATGAATATTTACCCAACTCATTGACAAATTTATTATCGTGTATCTAGAATTGTAAAATGGGAATAGAACAATGAAAGCGAACCAAAGTTTTTATTCATGAGCAAAATATGATGTAGAATCCTCCAAACCGCAGCAAGCCCAATGTTTTCCGTTGCTTTTTGGCACATATTGTTGTATGCGCTTTGTGGGGCTGATTACAATGCAACTCTTCTGTCATTATCTTTTTGAGTAATGCTAGATAAATTTAAAAAATAGATTTGATAAATCTCAACCATTGAATAAGTAGTGAGTCTCAAAAAATATTGAGACTCACAGTGAAATCAATGGTTGCACCACGACAGTGTAGCATTACTAGGAAAAGAACAATACTCTCTCTCTCAAAAACTCCTTGAACAGAGTGAGTGAACAGAGGAGCGATTCCATGGCGATTGTCCTCCCCCAACCTCCTTGAACCCTATATCATTCCTACCAATATATCTTCCATTTCTTCTTTCACCCACATTTTCTCTCCTCTGACCAGATTGTCTTCCAGACCCCCATTTTTATTGCCCTTGGTTCACCGCCCCTTGTTTTACCCACTAACCCCTGTTTCTTCTCTTTTTCATTCACTACACTGCGTATATAGATTCCTCACCATCAGTCCACTCCACCTATCACCATTATTGACTCTTTTCTCTCTACCCACCACATGCTCTAGCCATTAATATGTCTAGTATTTTAGAAAACCCAACGTTCTCAAATGTGGGAGATCTATCAAATCCCTGTCCACCAAAGGACCAAGATGTCAACCCACAACCCGTAAACCCATTTGTCCCAAGTAACCCTGCTACCATCTCTCCAGAGGTCAACCCACAAACCCCTCAAGCTTGCTCACCTGCAGTGTCCCAATCTTTGGTCAAAGAGCTATCCATTTCAAGTGAAGGTACTTGCTCTACCATTCCAAATGGTGCCAGAATACACACACAACAGATTTGTGCAAGCTCTAGTGNTGCACTTTCTCGTTGTGACCATTCCTAAGGGGTAGACGAGGTTCTTGCCCCAAGGTCCGGCTATTCTCTCTCATCTCATTAACTTCTCTGAGGGGGTCGAGATACGGTTGCTCCCTTGGTGGTGGTTTATTCTGACCTCCATGGGCCGGTCGCGCCTCCTGTGGGCATTGTAGGAGCTTTAAGAGCTTTTCATTCTGTTTTATCAGACGTTCATTGACAAGACGATGGGCCTCCATCTCATTATTCATGGGAAGGCCCCCCATGGGGGGATCTACTTCTTGCGTGTTTTTGGGTTGTCTGCTATTTGCGACTTCCTGTTGATCTTGCATCAGNTGGGAATCCACAGAATGGAACAAACATGCACAAGGAAGTCCCAAGCAAGAAGCCAACTAAGGTAACCAACTCGTTGGCTATAGAGGTAAGGGCACAGGTAAACCCATGTCCTGNCCTCCATCTCATTATTCATGGGAAGGCCCCCCATGGGGGGATCTACTTCTTGCGTGTTTTTGGGTTGTCTGCTATTTGCGACTTCCTGTTGATCTTGCATCCGTAGAGGATTGGTCTGACTTCGGCTTATGTTTCGCATTGATACCATCAGTCACTGAAAAGTCAGCTTTATTTGTAACAGGAACAGTCGTTCCCATAGACGGCGCCAAACTGATGGTGTTAACGCACTTTTACAAAAGATGGGCTGGGATTACGTTAGGTTGCTAAGATGATGTAATAATATCCAGGGCTTTGGAAGTTAAGACAACAGAATTATAGTGGTTCACCAGCTCGGGAGCTCGGATAGTCCACTCTGAAATGGAGGCTCTTACTCCTTTTGTTTCATTCACGGTGATTACAAGGTTGCTATGGCTTCTTTGTGCCACTAGGGTTTCCCCCTCTGTTAAGAGGTGTTACATTGCATTTATAGGGTCATTCCCTGCTAAGTGGGATCCTGGCCGAGATTCTTGCCCTTACTTCGTGGGGTTCTCCCTAATTTTATGAGAAGATCTTGGTTGAGTGAGATTAGATGTCTTGATTATAGCTTCTTAACGCTTTAGGAACCTTTCGTGATTATCCAGCTGTTGCCTTGGTTGTCATTGTCATTGCTTATCTCGAGGGGACCTCCAGCTCTACTCTTCCGAGTTATGCTTGCCTAGTCTGACCTCCTGGGCTAATCTGACTTCCTAAGCTGGCACTTCGGATTTATTTTGAGATATCATCAGTTTCAATTTAATTTAATAAACTATTTTTCTGATTTAATAATTCATAATTATTAAATTAATAGTAAACTTCAATATTTATTAAGACTCCTAATTAATTTTCAATAATTATGTTTAATTAAGTCGATAAATTAGATTTCAATAGTATTATTAGAACTTCTTCAACTGAGTAAAAAAATTAATTTAATATAGAACACTTCAATCGATAAACTTAAATATATATTCAAATCTTTAAAAAAAAATTCATTACCGTCCAAAAGCTCATTTTTTTAGATGCAAGAATTTTTTTATCAAGTATGAGAGATGAGAGAGATTTTTTGAGAATGAATATTTACCCAACTCATTGACAAATTTATTATCGTGTATCTAGAATTGTAAAATGGGAATAGAACAATGAAAGCGAACCAAAGTTTTTATTCATGAGCAAAATATGATGTAGAATCCTCCAAACCGCAGCAAGCCCAATGTTTTCCGTTGCTTTTTGGCACATATTGTTGTATGCGCTTTGTGGGGCTGATTACAATGCAACTCTTCTGTCATTATCTTTTTGAGTAATGCTAGATAAATTTAAAAAATAGATTTGATAAATCTCAACCATTGAATAAGTAGTGAGTCTCAAAAAATATTGAGACTCACAGTGAAATCAATGGTTGTACCACGACAGTGTAGCATTACTAGGAAAAGAACAATACTCTCTCTCTCAAAAACTCCTTGAACAGAGTGAGTGAACAGAGGAGCGATTCCATGGCGATTGTCCTCCCCCAACCTCCTTGAACCCTATATCATTCCTACCAATATATCTTCCATTTCTTCTTTCACCCACATCTTCTCTCCTCTAACCAGATTGTCTTCCAGACCCCCATTTTTATTGCCCTTGGTTCACCGCCCCTTGTTTTACCCACTAACCCCTGTTTCTTCTCTTTTTCATTCACTACACTGCGTATATAGATTCCTCACCATTAGTCCACTCCACCTATCACCATTATTGACTCTTTTCTCTCTACCCACCACATGCTCTAGCCATTAATATGTCCAGTATTTTAGAAAACCCAACGTTCTCAAATGTGGGAGATCTATCAAATCCCTGTCCACCAAAGGACCAAGATGTCAACCCACAACCCCTAAACCCATTTGTCCCAAGTAACCCTGCTACCATCTCTCCAGAGGTCAACCCACAAACCCCTCAAGCTTGCTCACCTGCAGTGTCCCAATCTTTGGTCAAAGAGCTATCCATTTCAAGTGAAGGTAATTGCTCTACCATTCCAAATGGTGCTAGAATACACACACAACAGATTTGTGCAAGCTCTAGTGGGAATCCACAGAATGGAACAAACATGCACAAGGAAGTCCCAAGCAAGAAGCCAACCAAGGTAACCAGCTCGTTGGCTATAGAGGTAAGGGCACAGGTAAACCCATGTCCTGGCACTACTTATTATTTTGTTTTTGAATCCTCTATTAGAAGTAAGGAAGGTGTGGGCCATGCTCTGTCAAATGAGGGAATGCAAGGTTCTTTAGTCACCGCCCAAAATGTACCACCAGAACAACAACCCCAAAGTGATGATAGATTGAAACAAACTACCTCCTGGAGCCAGGTTGTCAAGAATGGAGTGGGTCTGAACTCAAATATTCATGGTTTAGCTAATCATAAAGCCATGTCTCTTAAATTTGTTGAACCCATTAGGGATGCTCAAAGGATTGTGGTCTCTCCCCATAGGGATATAGCTGCAAAAGGCTACAAGGAGTGGGAAACATGCCTTGTGGGGTATTTTACNAGGTTGCTAAGATGATGTAATAATATCCAGGGCTTTGGAAGTTAAGACAACAGAATTATAGTGGTTCACCAGCTCGGGAGCTCGGATAGTCCACTCTGAAATGGAGGCTCTTANGCGCCAAACTGATGGTGTTAACGCACTTTTACAAAAGATGGGCTGGGATTACGTTAGATTGCTAAGATGATGTAATAATATCCAGGGCTTTAGAAGTTAAGACAACAGAATTATAGTGGTTCACCAGCTCGGGAGCTCTGCTAGTCCACTCTAAAATGGAGGCTCTTACTCCTTTTGTTTCATTCACAGTGATTACAAGGTTGCTATGGCTTCTTTGTGCCACTAGGGTTCNTAGGAAATTGCCATTTTCAATGGTCAAACAGATTGCCTTTAGGTTATGGAATAGACTAGGACTCATTGAAGTCTTGGCCAATGACAATGGGTTCTTCTTTTTCAAATTCAATGATGAAGCAACTAGCTCCAAGGTGCTTGAAGAGGGTCCACGGATGTTTTCTGGGAAACCAATTTTGCTCNTTGAAGATGTCATTCATGCAGCTGAGATCACTGACCTTAGATACTATGGAGTTCAATTTACTTGGTGTAATAATTGAGGTCAAGGCTGTACTGTTAGGAAACTGGATAGAGCTATTGTTAATGAAACTTGGATTCTAAAATTCCCAATGGCAGAAACTGAGTTTCTCCCTTTTGNCTCGAGGGGACCTCCAGCTCTACTCTTCCGAGTTATGCTTGCCTAGTCTGACCTCCTAGGCTAATTTGACCTCCTGNTGGAATGAAGAGGGATTAAGTCACATTGCTAGTGCAGTTGGTAAGCCCCTATATACTGATTCCCTCACTGAATCTAAATAGAGGATCACCTTTGCCAGATTATGTGTTGAACTGCAAGCAGACAAGGAGGCCATTGAATCATTTGACCTTAGAATGAAGGGCATTGATGATAATGAGGATGAAGAGGTCATTGAAATTGTTGTCGAATATCAGTGGAAACCTAGGATATGCATAGTATGCAAGGTGTTTGGAAATAGTAACTCTAATTGTCCTATAGGTATAGCTAAGAAAGAATGGAAACATAAAACACCCTTAGAAAAGGGCAAATGAATGGTTATTGATTTTGGTATAGAAGTACAGAATCAATTGCAGAATCAAGAGACTCTTAACTATTGCAGTACAAGTTCAAGTGACCCCCATCTTACTCTGCCTATATCTCAACAAATTCAAGGGGGGATTCTTCCTACAGGGAATGTGGTAATCCAGTCTTCCCCTATTCCTAAGGCTCATATTAACATTGAGACTTGTAATATATTTGCTAGCCTTGTGGTTGATCTTTCTGGGATTCAAGAGAACGACATGGACAAATTAGCTTCCCCGGTGAAAAGCCTCCTTAGTAACAAAGTGAAGAACATTGATGGAATTCCAATTGGAACAACAAGAAAGGAAAAACAAAAGCAAAAATCTCCTAACCTAGGGAAAGTTGGGGTTCCTAAAGCCCAGGGTCAGAGTTTGCCCAAACCCAAATGATCAATCTATCTTGCTGGAATATTAGGGGTCTTAACTCCACCCCTAAACAAATGGAGATTAGGAAAATGATTTTTGAACCACAGCTTGATTTGGTTGGTATAGTTGAAACCAAAGTAAGGGTTGTTAATAAGGAAGTTGCCAGGAGAAACATTATCAAAGAGTGGAGCTGGTGTGATAATTACAACAGTCACACTTTGGGTAGGGTGTGGATTGGGTGGAATCCTCAAAACATCAGTGTTCAGAAATTTGCTGAAATGAATCAAGCTATTCATTGCAAGGTCACTCATCATGCAAGTATGACTTCATTTACACTTTCTATTGTTTATGGTTCTAATGATGATATTGAGAGGAGAAGACTTTGGAGGGTCATGGAAGGTGTATCAAGGACTACTGTTAATGTTCCCTAGATAATCCTTAGTGACTTTAATGTGGTTAGATCAGTTGAAGAAATTCTTGGTGGCTCAACTAGAAGGACCTTGGCCATGGATGAATTTGAAGATGTCATTCATGCAGCTGAGATCACTGACCTTAGATACTATGGAGTTCAATTTACTTGGTGTAATAATAGAGGTCAAGACTGTACTGTTAGGAAACTGGATAGAGTTATGGTCAATGAAACTTGGATTCTAAAATTCCCAATGGCAGAAACTGAGTTTCTCCCTTCTAGTATTTCTGATCATAGTCCCATAGTGGTTAAAGTGGAAAAAGAAATCAAAGCTAAGAAGTGCCCTTTTAAGTTCTTCAATTTCATTGTTGAGAGGGAGGATTTTCTTTCCATTGTTAATAATGTTTGGCAAGCTCAAATTAGGGGAACTATTCAATTCCAAGTCAACCAAAAGCTTAAGCTCTTGAAAGTTGAGTTCAAAAAAGTCAACAAGGAAAAAGTTGGTGATGTTACGATCAAGGCTATGGAGGCAAAGGAGCAACTTTCTGCTTGCCAAAGGCGGCTTGTTACCAATCCCCTTGACCAATCACTCAGGATTCTTGAAAAAGAATTGGTGGGTAAATGCTTTGAGGCCTTCAAGGTTGAAGAAGATTTTCTGAGACAGAAGTCTAGAATCCAATGGTTAGCAGCAGGTGACAAAAACTTATCCTTCTTTTTCAAATCCATCTCAAGTAGAAAGAACAATTCCAAGAGTATCACTTTACAAAGACAGGATGGGTCTATTGCTAAAGGTGATAGGGAAATTAAAGATGAGGCTGTGAATTTTTTTTCCATAACTTGATGGGTAGGAAAAGGTCTCATGAGCCTTATAGAACTTCTGCTATATGGAACAGTTTGCAAATCACCATTACAAGGGAGCAATCTCAGATTCTTAGCAATGAGGTTATTGGGGATGAAATTAAAGCAGTGTGTTTCTCTCTCAATCCCAATAAAGCTCCAGGTCCTGATGGTTTCAATGGGTTTTTCTTCCAAAAGGCATGGTCTATCATTGGTGAAGATATTGTTGCTGCGGTTAAAGAATGCTTTACCACTGGTCAGCTTCTCAAGGAATTGAATACTACTATTATTGCTTTTGTTCCTAAAGTCCCCAATCCCACAAGCATGTCTGATTTTAGGTCCATCTCATGTTGTAATACCCTTTATAAGGTAATCTCCAAAATCATAGCAAGTAGGCTAAAAATTCTACTTCCCCATGTGATCAACTCAACTCAAACTATCTTTATAAAGGGAACGAGAATAGGGGTCAATATTCTTATGGCCCAGGAATTGCTAAGGAACTATCATAAGAATGATAGGCCCTCCAAGTGTGCTATCAAGGTTGATTTAATGAAAGCTTTTGACATGGTTGACTGGGATTTCTTGCTCGATGTGCTTGTTGCTCTTAATCTCCCCAGAGTCGTGGTCAAATGGATTAGTGAATGCATTACTACTCCCAAGTTTTCTATCAATGTTAATGGTGAATTAGCAGAATACTTCCCAATTGGCAGAGGTCTTTGACAAGGTGACCCAATGTCTCCTTATTTATCTATCATTGTGATGGATGTGCTGTCAAGAATTCTTGAGCAAGGCATTCATGATGAGTCTCAGTTTAAATATCATTGGAGATGCAGAAGACAAAAGATCTCCCATCTTTGCTTTGCAGATGATTTAATCATGTTATGTCATGGGGACCCTAAATCAGTTGAAGTTCTTAGACGGGCTCTGGATAAATTTCAAATGTTATCTGGCTTAAAGGCTAATCCTTCCAAGAGCCACATCTTCCTTTCAGGTGTTCAAGATGAGCAACAACAGTTGATGGTTGAGTGTTTTGGTTTTCCTCTTGGTTGTCTGCCTATGAAACATCTTGGGATCCCTATTATCACCACTAAGCTCAAGTTGCAAGACTGCTCTTTATTACTTGAAAAAGTGGACTCAAGGATAAACTCCCGGGTTAACAGAGCTCTGTCTTATGCTGGGAGACTCCAGCTCATTAAATTTGTGTTATGTAGCATTCAAGTTTATTGGGCTAGTCATCTTATGCTTCCTAAGAAGATTCTACATGCTATTGATCAGAAACTAAGATCATTTTTATGGTCTGGTACTGAAATGAAAACAAAGGGGGCCAAGGTTGCTTGGAGTGAGGTTTGTGTACCCATAAAGGAAGGGGG